CTTGAACAGTTGTCCACTCTTTCTTTCCTTTAATATCTATCCCTTCCACAAAATCGCCAACGCCACCACATCTTCCAGGGACCCCCGATTCTCTGCAGGGGCTGGCCCCCTATATACAATCTTTTTCATCTGAGGTAGATATATATACGATGACATGCACAGATCTTACTACATGTGTCTATATAACCCAAACTCCTATCAACATACAGGAAGTTTCTTCAGGCCCCTTCCCCATCAATTCCCACTCTTATCCCCTCAGAGACAACTATTCTGAATATTTTTTAAACCACAGATTAATTTTGTCTATTCTAGAATATCTTATAAATGGAATAAAACAATATGATTCTTTTGGGTAAGGCTTATTCTATTCAGTTTATCTTTTAGATTTATCCATGTTGCATGCATTCCTTTTTATTTATTTGTTTTGTTTATTTATTTATTGAGTCGGGATCTCACTCTGTCACCTACGCTGGAGGGCAGTAGCACAGTCACAGCTCAGTGCAGCTTCGAATTGGGCTCAAGCTATCCTCCCTCCTCAGACTTCCAAGTAGCTGGGGCTGCAGGTGCGTGCCACCACACTCAGCTAATAAAAAAATTTTTTTTTGTAGAAATGAGGTCTTGCTATGTTTCCCAGGCTGGTCTTGAGTTCTGGTCAGCATCTCAGCATTCCAATGTACTAGGATTATAGGCATGAGTCACTTGCCCAACTTCTTTTTTTTTTTTTTTTTTGAGTTGGAGTCTCACTGTTGCCTAGACTGGAGTGCAGTGACCGCTCCCGGCCACTGCAGCCGCGACCTGCTGGGCTTCGGTGATCCTTCCACCTCAGCCTTCCAAGTAGCTGGAACTACAGGCGCATGCTACCATGCCCGGCTGATTTTTTGATTTATTGTAGAGATGAGGTCTCACCTGCCCAGGCAGGTCTTGAACCCGCGAGTTCAGGCAATCCACTCACCTCAGCCTCCCAAAGGCACGGGATTACAGGCTGAGCCATCGAGCCCGGCTCCAACTTCTGTGTGTGTGTGTGTGTGTGTGTGTGTAGTGTGTGTTTTGAGACAGGGTCTTGCTCTGTCATCCAGGCTAGAGTGCAGTGATGGATTGCAGCTCATCGCAGCCTTGGTCTCTTGGGCTCAGGTGATTCTCCCATTTCAGCTTCCCAAGTAGCTGGGACTAGAGGTGTATGCCACCATGTCTGGCTAATTTTTGTGAGACAAAAGAGACAAGATCTTGCTATGTTGCCCAGGCTATTCTCGAACTCCTGTCCTCCTACCTCGGCTTCCCAAAGTACTGGGATTACAGGTGTGAGTCCTAGCTTTAAAGTAGTGAGAGTTATCTGAAACAGTCTTGAAGATGCTACGTAAAGTGAATGAGTATCATTGAGACCACATGATGCCAAGATAAATCACGACCTAGATCACTCAATAAGGAAAAAATGCTAGCTTAAGCTGGGCTCGGTGGCTCAGCCTGTAATCCCGCGCCTTTGGGCTGAGGTGAGTGGATTGCCTGAGCCCGGGGGTTCGAGACCCGCCTGAGCAGCGAGACCTCATCTCTACAATAAATCAAAAAATCAGCC